AATTTTTTGTTTCAACAGTGTTATTCAATTTCTGAAACACTAGTCATGACTGCGATTTTCAAATTGAAAAAAAAACTCATTTTTGACTCTTGTCGTGGGGGTGGTAAACAAAATTTTTCTTTGCTCATTTGTCCTCCCCTTCTCCCATTGTTTTGTGGTGATTTCTTTTGTAAGTAGAAAAGTAGCCATCTTACAAATTTGCAATTGTTCTTTGAAAAAAATTAATAATTTCTGTAGTGAAGTGGTAAAACGAGGTAAGTTAACTTACCTTTTCGTGGAGTTTTTCGGAAATATCTCTAAAATTAAGGGAGATAGCGAAATTTTTGTCAAAATCTTTTTTGTAGAGGTAATTGAGAGCTACGAAAAAGGTGATTACAAAAATTATGCTATTTCCCTTATTTTCGCAGATATTTCTGAAAAACCCACCGAAGAATTAGTTAACTTACCTCGTTCTACCACTTCACTACAGATTTCATTGTTATTTCAATAGTAAAACAGGAAATCCAAAGCTACTCTATTTTTCAAACTTCAATGCAAAATTTAATAGAGTTGAAGTTTATTTGTTAATATCTCTTCCAACTCTAATTTCTCTCTATAAAAAGATATCGACACGATTCTGTTGAAAATTTTCTTTAGTAAAAGTTGAATAGGACCAACTTTTTCGGGTGTCCATTTTACCCCACTCTTGAATAATTTTTCGGTTGTGGACTTTGTCAAGAAGCAATTTTTTCAAATTGGATTATTGAAGAATTTTTTTTTCGCCAGTTTATTGTGTCTGTTTTACTCTAGATGTCCATATTGCCCCACCCAAAAGCCATAACGTTTGATTAAAAATTAATTCAGGGATCTCGTACATTTAAAAAAATCTGTAACGAAACTGTAACAACCCTTTTGATATTTTTTCCTGTCGAGTTTGAAAGAAAATGCTCTCAAATTTGATTTGATTTATCAATTGGTATGGTATTTTTCCTCTAGGGAAGGATTACTTTTGGGCTTGGGAAATCCACTACTGGATATCTCAGCAACCGTAGATGATGATTTTTTGAAAAAATATGGAATGAAACCGAATGATGCCATTCTAGCTGGGGAGCACCACAAGCCATTATACGATGAGCTTATTGAACAGTACAAAGCGGATTTCATTGGAGGTGGATCAGTTCAAAATACTCTCAGGGTTGCGCAGGTGAAATGAGAAAATACTAAGACTACAACACAATACGTAAATTCCATCTTGACTCCTCACATTTCACCTGAAACATTTGATTTTTTATTTGCGATCAATATCATTAGACTCTCAAACGTTCCATTTCTGATATTTAATCCCCGATATTCGACGATTCCCAACATTAAGGATGTTTATCCAAAATCGCAAGTATCCAAAAAAATTGTTTTTTTTTCAACTGAGAGATGAAGCTATTCCCTTGATCTTGATAAAAAATTCAGTCCACCAACCCACGTTTATTATTTAGAAATTGAGTGAACAAAATGCACTTGTATGGAATAGAATCTTTCAAATATTTCCTCTTCTTGCACGGTTACCCCAATTTTTTTTCTGACCATTCGATTCAGTGTAGTTTTGCACATTACATTCTATTTTTATTTCTATTTTTCGAGTCTTATAGGGGAGGGTAGGGTGGACAAAATGGTCACTTTTGACTTTTTTAAAAATATTCATAACTCAGAAACAGATTTATCAACTGAGCTCAGTCTAAAATAAAATAAAATAAAATTATTCCATTTCATGAACAATTCAACACGTCCTGAATATTAAAAAAAAAGTCAAGTGTCTGTTTTACCCGAAAAAGTTGTTCATTTATTTCTATCGAGACTATTGCGATTAATTTTTTTTCAGCATCAAAGAAGTTAGTTTCATAAGTTCTGCTATCAGCCAAAAAAATTATAGAATTTTCCTTTAACATGAAAAAATAAAATTTGCTGAAACTGGCTAAACATCCTTGAATCCCTCATATTCGAAATTCGGGAGAAATTCAAACATTTCGAAGTTGACGTTGACTTTTCAGTGGATTTGGGAAAAGCCCCATATTTCCACATTCATGGGTTGTGTGGGGAGAGATAAATATTCTAAAATCCTGGAAGACAAGCTTTTGGAGAGTGGAGTGAATGTTAGATATCAATACCACGATAAAGAGTCTACTGGTACCTGTGGAGTGCTTATTACTGGAAAAAATCGATCATTATGTGCGAATTTAGCAGCTGCAAATTGCTTCTCACCACATCATCTCGACGATCCAGAGAATCAACTCCTTTTAGAAAATAGTGAATATATCTACATTTCTGTGAGTACCATCCAGTGCATTCTCTGCATGTTTGGCACAAAAAAATCAGTTTTTAATCATTTTCAAAAAACTATTTTCCTGGCACAAGTAAGACTTGTTTGAGAACTTTGTCGTTTGTCTCTCAGTGTAGGGTGACGCCAGTTTCTCCACCCCAACAAAAGCTGTGGAGTATTTTGAGACAAATTCAGTCAGCGCCTGTTCGCCCAAATTCATTGATTTTTGGGGTAGAAATTGAGGAAAATAATTCACACTTGACGATGCTCTCTGCATTTTAATTCACCACCTACTTCGTTCATTGCACACTGCACCTAATTTGTTTCAAAGTGGAGTTGCATGCATCAACATTGAGACAGTCTCCCTCAGACTAGTTAATACTAAATTCTTCATTGTCGACAATGATCAGATAACAAGATAAGAACTTATATTTCAAAGCAAGCAAACATGCATTCGAAACACGAATAAGCTGTCTCCATAGATGCTTAAAAAATAAAAAAAATGTACGTAGCATCTGTGATACGCAGTAAACATTTTCAAAACGAGAGCCAACAATGACCAATCTTGTTTTAAATTTCATCCCCTCTTCACTTATCATAATTTTCACGCATCATAAATCAAAATCGGATGAATAGAGCTGGAGTTATTGAAAAAACCTAAATAAAAAATCCTATCTCCAAAATGGGGTGTTGAAAAAATCTGAAAAAAATTGAGAGATAGTTTTTCAAGTTCCCCAATCGTAGAAAAAATCGAGATCAAAATCCAAGAGGGTGTGGGTCAGCCGTCGGCTCATGGGCCCTGGAATACCTCATATGAATGACTCCACATTATCGCATGAAAAATATTGTCATGAATTTCATATTTCTAGGGCTTCTTCTTGACCGTCAGTCCAGTAACCATTCAAACAGTAGCGAAACATGCGCACGAGAAGAATAAAATGTTCATGATGAATCTGAGTGCACCATTTCTGTGTGAATTCTTCAAGGAGCCAATGCTGGCAGCATTCCCTTATGTAGATATACTATTCGGCAATGAAACAGAGGCAGATGCCTTCTCAAAGGCGAATGACTTAAAAACGACGGACAGGAGGGAAATTGCCTTAATAATGTCGAAGATTAATAAAATAAATGATAAGAGGAAGAGACTTGTTGTTATCACTCAGGGGGCTGAGAATGTGATCGTAGCTAAAGATGATACCGTCACAGAATATCCAGTCAGGAGAATACAGGAAGATAAAGTTGTGGATACGAACGGTGCTGGAGATGCCTTCGTCGGAGGTGCCGTACAATTTTGTTTGTCTCACCAATGTAAAATAAGATAAGTTCATGTCCTTTTGTCGTATTTTCACAGGATTCCTGGCACAATACATCCTTGGCAAGAGCATCGATGTATGCATTGAGTGCGGCGTCTGGGCAGCTACAGAAATTGTCCAAAGATCTGGTTGTACTTACGTAGGAAAAGCTAATTTTCTATCTTGAAATTATATTTTCACACATTCGAGAGATACCTGTACATTTTGGAAAACTACCAGGGGACGGTTACTTAAAAAAATTTGGTTCTTTGAATAAATCGTTTAACCAAAATTTGTTCTTATTCTCTAAAACAATTTAATCGAAAAACTTCTGAAAATTGCGTCATAAGAGTTCAAATCACTCGACTGAAATTCTCTATGAGAGATGGAACTGAATTAGATTTCAGAATAATTTATGTAAATCAGAATTTTCTAAAATGAAGAAAATTTTTTTTTCAAAATTCCTTCACTTCTCCGTGAATTTTCCAGAGTATTTGAATTCCTTTTGACTACATTTATTCCATATATCCGCCACACGTCCTCCAAAACAACGAACAGTTTGAGAAATATTCAGTTTATTCGATTACATAATTAAGTCTCACGTATTTCCTTAGATATTTAAGCTATTTACGATATCAAAGTAAAAAATATGCACATAAATTTCCTTGAAAGAATAAACATCTCAATTGGGGATGAATCATCGACTGCTCCCAACTTTCAATACCTCAATTCCAGGTGAGGTAACAAATGTTAATGTCATTGATGATACTTTACATGGAATTTGACCTTCGAAAACATCAAGTTGACCATTCGGTCTATATACTATCACCAACCGGCTGCGCCGTTGGTTTCAGTCCACGAATACTCAAGTCGTACACGACTTCCTCGACTTTCTTGACATCATATTTTAAAGCATCAAAACGTTTACGTAAATTATCATTCTTCAAATTCAGCAGTCTGAATCCAGCATTCAATTCATTGACAAAACGTGCAATTTCAATTGGACGATTGTAATCCCCAGATGTTACACTGTTAACTGCAAAACGGCTCTAAAATCGAAAGGAATTATTTCATTTTTCGATAGCCATTCATTATTTCAGTCGATTCTTACCAATTCTGCTGATAATTGAAGCAGTCCCATTAGAAATTCCTCCAAATCGAGATGAAAACCCTCTTCGCGATTATTTTTTACTTGAAACAAAAAGAAAACAAGTGGGAAATGGCTCTTGTATTGAATATAGTACCGTCATTTTTGCTAATAAATTGGCAATATCCATGGGATAGCTCGATAAGTATATTGAGTTGACACTGAATAATTTAACAGAGGCAGAGAGATGAGGATTGCTGATTACCCCCAAGAATTTCTGCAACTGTTTCCTTGGTTACGAGGACTTTGACTTCCAGGTAAACTGTGAGGGATGCGAGAAAACACAGACGCTGTGTGACAAATCTCCACAAATCATGGAATCGGTAGTACTGATCCTTCGGAACGACTTGAGCTAATTTAGCATACTGCAGTCTCACTTCGGCGAAGTGTTCTCTGGCTTTGGCACAGTGTTGAGAGACAACTGAAGTATTCAATTATAGTGGATTGAAGTAATGTCTATGAGAGAGAGAGAGAGAGTGCTTGAAATTTTATACAGAATTATTTACATACTTATGTTCTCCTCCATTGAACTTTCATTGTGAATATTCTGAAGTATTATTAGAATATCTCGTGCTGTTTTCTCAGTGTCCTTCACGATCACACGAATTTCCTGGGGGAAAATATTGAATAAGGAATTTAGAACACTCAATAAAATACGAAGAACAATTCTCCGATGTATTCAAAGTGAGAAAGAAAGGGTAATCACTCAGAAAAAGAGTGTACACTACATGAGAGAAAAACAAACACGTTGTCAAACAAGTCTTGTTTGGGCCAACAAAATCGTTAGTTGAAAATTGCCAAAAAGGAGTTGTTTGGTTCGAATTTGAAAGTCTCAAACATGAATAATTGTTCTGCTTTCGACAGCAACGAAATATTTGGCTCAAGAGGCGGATAATTCACACCAGACGGTGCCTTTTCAGGATGAAAATATCTCATGCAGAGGAAAATTTATCAACAAATATTTTATCCCTAAGTTACAAGATTGCTATCGTATCATTATTATTGTTTCATTTAAGGGTTCATTTGTTGTTTGTGATTATTAGACAGCCGAAACGAAAAACTACTATCCCTTGTTTCGCATGAAACAAAGATTTTTCGGGAGCAAAATACGTATGGGAGTATCGAATAACGAAGGAGTAGTGCTAGAAATGACATTTCTTGCGTCTACAGAGAATGCAATTTTTTTGAACTACTAAATCTATTTTTGCGACAAAAATTTTTCATTCCAGCGCACTCTCTGCATGTTTGGCACAAAAAAATCCTTTTTTGATAATTTTCAAAAAACTATTTTCTTGGTGCGAGTGAGACTTGTTTGAGAACTTTGTCGTTCTTCTCGCAGTGTAGATTTCTGAAGTCTTTTTAAGACTTCAAGGAATTTCAAGGAAATTCAAAGGGCTTCGAGGGAATTCATGGGATTTTAGAAGATTTAAATCGTTTGGATCGAGTAAAACGCTCGTTGACATTGAACAATCACGATGGAATGCCTAAATGAACATAAATTCGGGGAATAACAGACACAAAGAACTTCGAAATCTCTCGTGATCAAAGTATGAAACAGTGGCAGTTTCCACACTCAACACTGTTGACGTATAACCTCAGAAACTGTTTCGAAGACGGAATACGAAAATTCGGAAGTATTTGATTATTGGGGAATGTTACCTCTCGTAATTCCTGCTCACTATTCAGGTGGTCTTGAAAGGAATTGAAAATTTGCGAAAATTGCGTCATCGTATTTTCGTTTCTTCACACGATTGTTATTTTACTTTTGGTCCGGCTGTAACCTGTTCTCTGACTGATTCCACCGACAGCTGATTCGTGCTTGGAACACTTGCAATTTAGTGCGCAAACTCGAGGATGAGCGGTAAATTTCAAGACGGGCTCTCCTTGCTCGTTTTATGTCGAGATAAAATCATAAATTTCAACCAATTCTAGTTGAGTATTCCAAATTCAGGACTGTCATTGGTTGAAATTTACGATTTTATGTCGACATAAAACGAGCAAAATCGCTCCCCAGAGGGTAAAAAGCTAAAATGTTGATTATTTTTCCCAATCCGATTTCGACCAATCAGAGCGCAGTATTTGAGGCTACCCGGCAGTTTTATTTCGGATATTTCCTCCTAGCTTTTGAATATTTCACAGTAGTTCTTCATTTTTTTACCTGAATATTTCGCAGTAGTTCTTCATTTTTTCGGCTCATTTCAGATAGAATCTTATATTTGACAGTCTATGGAAATCGGGTTATTCTATTAACATAACTTGTTCAAATCTTCCCCAATTCATCTTCTGATGTTGTCCACTGCACTCTGTTGGGCCAGAATCCGATTGAGAAAAATAATCCGACAAATACCTCTCGAGATTCAAAATTAATCGGGTATTTGCCTCAAGCTCCCCTGCAAACAAACCGTCGTGCCAAGTTTTGCAGAAAAATCACGAGCGCTTCCGCGAGGCAAAACTTGACACCCTCATTTGTTTGCAACGAACCCATCGGGAAATACCCAATAATTTTGAAGCTCTTGGGGTATTACTACTGACTATTTTACATGAGTTGTGCAATTTTTTTTATTAAGAAAATTAACGAAACGAAATTCGCTGCGTAGGAATGGAATTTCAAAAAACTAATTCGTAATTAGGGGAGGGTAGGGTAAAATGGACACTTGACTTTTTTAAAAATATCCATAACTCAGAAACAGATTTATCAATTGAGCTCAGTCTCAGCTCATCACAAAGAGGAATCATTGTTTTTCAGTTGAAAAATAAAATGATTCCATTTCATAAATAATTCAACACGTCATGAATATTTCAAAAAAAGTCCAAAGTGTCCGTTTTACCCTACCCTCCCCTATTATTGCACACATTTTTTCAAAAATTTTGAAAAAGAGAAAACTTTGTAGCTCCAAAATTGGAGGCCCTGGACTATTTGCAACATTTTAAGTATTTGGGAAGTTGCGAAATGTTCGGCATTTCGGATAAGAAATGGGGGAGGTTGGGGTAAAACGGACACTTTTGACTTTTTTTAAAATGTTCATGAGGGGTTGAAATGTTGATAAAATTTAATAATTTTTCTTTCAATACAAAGGACAATTATTTTCCTTTGTGACGAGCCTAAACTGAGCTCAATTGATAAATTTGTTTCTGACTTATGAATAATTTTAAAAAAGTCTAGTGTCCATTTTACCCCACCCTCCCCTAGTGCTTGCTTTTTCGAGAGAACCTAATCAAAATTCCTAGAAGACCCTTAACTTTTTGATTTTCCCGCCTGTTCCTAATATTTCTTATTTTCTCTATTGTGAACCAGCCCCTATTCTCCCGCATTTTTCCTATGCTTTTTTTCCTATTCTTTTTTATTATTCATGTTCAACACTTGAACTTGATCGTAACAACACCGCGATCATAACCTTCGAAGTGCAATTATATAAATATAGTAGTGACTGAAGCCAGTTGAATGTGCCAATTGTTATTCAGTCAATAATCAATGATTTTTGTTCATTACCATTGTGTTCTTTTTACTGTGAGTATGACTTGATTCTCGTGTACACCACTTAGTTATTCTGAAGATGGTTTTTCGAAAATAGCGAAGAATAGAGTGACATGAGTGGGATCTTAACTCCCGGTCCTAGAAAAATCTGCAATAACTTCTGACGAACGGTATGATTCAGATGAATAAAATCGCATTCTATCGTCTGAAGAAACCTTGACAATTTTAAAATGAATCAATGCATTTTAATCTGTTGATCGATGAATATTAACGACTAAACTAATAGGGGAGGGTGGGGTAAAACGGACACTAGACTTTTTTTTAATTATTCATAACTCAGAAACAAGTGGCACTGTCCCAACTTGACTTCAGAGAGGATAATTCTTAAGGAGGAACTTGAAAAATGTAAAGCCCCGCCTACAAACTCAATCACCCCTTTTATGAAAACAACAGATGCAAAAATCTTGACAATATTGCACATTTTTTTCAAAAAAATCACAAAGAAAAAGGGAAAGAATTGTTCTTTGCATTGAAAAAAAAAATTATTAAATTTTATCAACATCTCAACCCCTCATTAACATTTTTAAAAAAGTCAAAAGTGTCCGTTTTACCCCAACCTCCCCTATATATAGTTATCTAGTTTAATGAGAAAAGAAAATGTAAGCATTTAGATTAAGATACCATTACTGACAGTGTAAATAAATCCTGCAAATTTTCACACTTAAAATAATTTTTTTTAAACGGATAACACGGACACTAGACTTTTTTAAAATTATTCATAACTCAGAAACAAGTGGCACTGTCCCAACTTGACTTCAGAGAGGATAATTCTTAAGGAGGAACTTGAAAAATGTAAAGCCCCGCCTACGAACTCAATCACCCTTTTTATGAAAACAACAGATGAAAAAATCTTGACAATATTGCATAATTTTTTCAAAAAAATCGCAAAGGGAAAGGGGAAGAATTGTTCTTTGTATTGAAAAAAAAAATTATTAAATTTTATCAACATTTCAACCCCTCATTAACATTTTTAAAAAAGTCAAAAGTGTCCGTTTTACCCCAACCTCCCCTATATATAGTTATCTAGTTTAATGAGAAAAGAAAATGTAAGCATTTAGATTAAGATACCATTACTGACAGTGTAAATAAATCCTGCAAATTTTCACACTTAAAATAATTTTTTTTAAACGGATAACACGGACACTAGACTTTTTTAAAATTATTCATAACTCAGAAACAAGTGGCACTGTCCCAACTTGACTTCAGAGAGGATAATTCTTAAGGAGGAACTTGAAAAATGTAAAGCCCCGCCTACAAACTCAATCACCCCTTTTATGAAAACAACAGATGCAAAAATCTTGACAATATTGCATAATTTTTTCAAAAAAATCGCAAAGGGAAAGGGGAAGAATTGTTCTTTGCATTGAAAAAAAAAATTATTAAATTTTATCAACATTTCAACCCCTCATTAACATTTTAAAAAAAGTCAAAAGTGTCCGTTTTACCCCAACCTCCCCTATATATAGTTATCTAGTTTAATGAGAAAAGAAAATGTAAGCATTTAGATTAAGATACCATTACTGACAGCGTAAATAAATCCTGCAAATTTTCACACTTAAAATAATTTTTAAAAAAAAGTCTAGTGTCCGTTTTACCCCAACCTCCCCTATATATAGTTATCTAGTTTAATGAGAAAAGAAAATGTAAGCATTTAGATTAAGATACCATTACTGACAGTGTAAATAAATCCTGCAAATTTTCACACTTAAAATAATTTTTAAAAACGGATAAAACGGACACTAGACTTTTTTTTTTTTAATTCATAACTCAGAAACAAGTGGCACTGTCCCAACTTGACTTCAGAGAGGATAATTCTTAAGGAGGAACTTGAAAAATGTAAAGCCCCGCCTACAAACTCAATCACCCCTTTTATGAAAACAACAGATGCAAAAATCTTGACAATATTGCATAATTTTTTCAAAAAAATCGCAAAGGGAAAGGGGAAGAATTGTTCTTTGCATTGAAAAAAAAAATTATTAAATTTTATCAACATTTCAACCCCTCATTAACATTTTAAAAAAAGTCAAAAGTGTCCGTTTTACCCAATTCGTTCCCCTATTCGTCGAGTATAGTTATATTTTATACTTCTCTTTGTCTAAAAATGACACGGTTTCCAAATTCTATTTTCTCAAAACTGTTCTCCTACCCGTGTCCTAATGCAGAGGCCATTTGTTTCACTCACATTCGTCTTTTCACTTGAAAAAACGCGCAAAATTATCTTCAGAAGTATTTGATAGTGTAATAATTACATTGTATTAATCCGATAAAATTTTTCATCTCCGATTTTTATTCTTTGCTATTTTTTAAATTTATTCTATCAAAATGTGAGGATAGAAATTGAATTGATGGGTATTCTTTCATTCTTTGAAAAAATATCTCAGTTTTAAAACTTTTCGGAGACATTGAAAAATCGAAATTTTTATTTTCTTGCTGATCATCTCTCCCTGCATTTTTCTCATTTCCTCTCAATGAAATCAGATCATGAAAACGAAAAATTTCATTTTCATGATCTGATTTCATTAAGAGGAATTATTATATTATTTAACATAAATATTTCTTCATGTAAAAATGAGAAAAACTGTTCCCACAATTTCTATACTACAATGGGAATGAATCCAATCAATTTAATTTGATCTAACCGCAAAGCAAAATTTCTTCATGTAAAAATGAGAAAAACTGTTCCCACAATTTCGATACTACAATGGGAATGAATCCAATCAATTAAATTTGATCTAACCGCAAAGCAAAATTTCTTCATGTAAAAATGAGAAAAACTGTTCCCACAATTTCTATACTACAATGGGAATGAATCCAATCAATTTAATTTAATCTAATCGCCAAGCAAAATTGGAAAGAAAACAAAATAAATTAACATAATATAACATAATCTGGAAGTGCCCGTTCGCTAGTAGTAATTAATCCCTTACTTCGAGTCTGTATTCAAATTCCAGTGCTCGCACAAGATTGCCTTGAATGTTGAAATTCTGTAAAATGAGATGGCTCGCTCATGGGGTTCAGATGTCATTGGCGTCCTTCGTGGCATGCAGACTGTTGTCAACAGCATTGCCAAGCATCAGGCGGAGACTATGAAACAAGTTATCGATAATTCCAGTGTTAGGAGGGCGACTGAAGACAATATTAAAGGGACAATTCAACAATTGTCTGAGATACAGCTGAGCGAGGCTCCGGTAAGTTGAAAACCCGAATCAATAAGGAACTGAAAATACGATGAAAAAAGCCAAAGTAATATAAACAAGTGGGAAATGCATTCTCTTCATTCATCCAGGAAAAAGTACTATCATCGGTGCAAGAATTACTCAACAGAGTACTTGTCGTTGAGAAAGGGATATCCGAGCTTGCCAAGCATTTCACGAGTGAAATTACAAACTCCCCCGCACACCCACAAAATGCGAAGCCCGAACCTCCGAACCTCGAGATTTATCACCCCGCAAAAGATCCCAGAGAAACAGCTCCTCGAGAAAATTCGCAAAAACTTTCTGATGAAAACGTTGTCAATATTTCACGAGAATATAGCAGTGTTAAAGAGAAAATAGAGACCATCCGTGGGCATGAAAAAATAATCCCTAAAATAGAGTTGACAAATAAAGACAAGGAACTGCTGAGGAAACTGGAGATCGAGCATGAAATCAAAACAAAAACGAAAGAGGCAGTGATGCCTGAACCGAAAGTCGGGAGAGTTGAAATGCGAGAAAAGAGCGCACAAAATATTGAGGAAAGAACATTCATTAACAGAAAAAATCCCACAATGAAGCCGATGATAAAACCTAAACAAACAGTAAGTGGATCCAATTATAATAACATTCAAATAATTTCAAATATTTTTGCTCTTTTCCTTTATTTTCAAGAGAAGAAGGAGGAGAAATAGTTTTACCCCTCATTTACCTATAAAATTAAACAGTATTTTGTTTTCCTTGATACACAAAATGAAGTACTTTAAGATTTCGTTCTTTTTCTGGAGCTTTCATCAAACGCCAGGGAAAGGAAAGTTCCAAGCACAAGAATTCAGCGTTTGATAAGCTTCGGGACCCTAGGAATCGGTTTAGGAATCGGCACAATAGCGGAATATGGACGAAGAACATTGGGAATAAAAGAGCAGGGCATTGGAGAGAGTTTGGATAATGCTTTCTTAACAAAAGCTAATGCTGAGAGAATTGTATCGACTCTTTGTAAAGTGAGAGGTGAGTACCATTAACGATTAAAATTCTATGAAAATATGGAAAAAATGAATTATTTGATCCAAATAAATTTTATTTGAGTCAAATAAATAAGTTTATTCAAATCGAATACCAAATACATTTTTTTCAAATTAAATAAACAATTTTATTCAAAGTTCTGTTTAAATTTCATAAATGTTTTTTTACTGATAATAAATTGTTTATTTGATAAAAGAATACATTTTTCTGGCTGCACTCTTGAATTTGTCGACTTTGTTTCAGGTGCTGCTCTAAAAATTGGCCAGATATTGAGTATCCAAGATAGTAACATAATAAGTCCAGAACTGCAGAAAGTCTTCGAACGAGTTCGTCAAAGCGCCGATTTCATGCCGACTTGGCAAGTTCAGGTGAATTGTTCAGCCAATTGTGAACATGTGTTTAGTTCAAATGTAAATTTAGACAAGTTAAATCTCGAGTGAATTTTATATACATTTTTGTTGCTCGTTGTTTTTCCTTCACCTGTTATCTGGAGAAATAGAATTATCCAGCCATTTTCGACAGATTCACAAGGTAGAACGTCAATGAAAAATATTTTTTTCTGCAGCGGGTACTGGCTGATGAATTGGGTGCCGAGTGGAGACGTAAAGTCAGTACTTTCGACGAGAAACCGTTTGCTGCGGCTTCTATAGGTAATTTTGGAAATATTAACAATTACAAAACAACTTTTTGACGAATTTAGCTGACGAGAATTTGATTTCGAGCAGACATCATCAACTTTATATCATGAAATCAATTTCAATATTAATTAACCAATAACTGATTAATTTTTTTCTGTTTTTTTTCGAATACGTCGAATATATCAAAAATCACCGAATGGAGACTGAAATTTTTTAAAAAGGAATGATCGACTAGTAAATGGAGAATTTTTTTTTTATCATTTGAGTCGGTGGAAACTTGGAATCACTGTTTTTTCGTCGAATATGGGCGGGGCACATATTTTGGAATTTTATTACTTAATTTTAACGAGAAGAAATGAAAAAATTTATTTTTCACGGAAGAAAACCCATAAATTCGATTTCTATCCTTGTCTTTCGATAGAATGAATAGAATAAATGACAGAAATTGAGAATTAGAGACTAAAAATTTTATCGGATCATTATCATGTTCTAAACACGTTACAAATAATATTTCTCTGTATGTGATGAATCTTCAAATTTTCAGGTCAAGTACATTTAGTTACACTTACAAGCGATGGATCTCTTGCTGCTATGAAAATTCAGTATCCAGGTGTAGCAGAAGGAATCCAAAGTGATATAGATAATTTAGTCGGAGTTTTGAAAGTAACGGAGTAATTACAAATTGCATTAATTCCCCGAAAACAATCGACTCATGTCGTTTTGTGCTCTTTTCCTAGCTTTGGAACGTCTTCCCTGAGGGAATGTTCATCGACAATGTAGTTGAAGTTGCGAAGAAGGAACTGGCGTGGGAGGTCGATTACGTCAGAGAGGCGGAGTGTTCTAGAAAATTCAGAGAGCTCCTGGCACCTTATCCTGAATATTATGTTCCAAAAGTCATAGGTATGGTAGTTTTATCGATCTTCAGTCGTCACCAGGGAAATTCGAATTTTTCTGCTGAATCTCAATTCTCAATCTCCATTAGCCTCCGATTTTTTCATTCATCCCCACATCATGGAAATGAAAGAAAATTAGACAACTTTTAATGTCAAAATTTTTTTCCAGACAAATTCGAATTTTTCTGCTGAATCTCAGTTCTCAATCTCCACTAGCCTCTGATTTTTTCATTCATCCCCACATCATGGAAATGAAAGAAAATTAGACAACTTTTGTTAAAAATTTTTTCCAGACAAATTCGAATTTTTCTGCTGAATCTCAGTTCTCAATCTCCATTAGCCTCTGATTTTTTCATTCATCCCCATATCATGGAAATGAAGGAAAATTAGACAACTTTTGTTAAAAATTTTTTCCAGACAAATTCGAATTTTTCTGCTGAATCTCAGTTCTCAATCTCCATTAGCCTCTGATTTTTTCATTCATCCCCATATCATGGAAATGAAGGAAAATTAGACAACTTTTGTTAAAAATTTTTTCCAGACAAATTCGAATTTTTCTGCTGAATCTCAGTTCTCAATCTCCATTAGCCTCTGATTTTTTCATTCATCCCCACATCATGGAAATGAAAGAAAATTAGACAACTTTTAATGTCAAAATTTTTTTCCAGACAAATTCGAATTTTTCTGCTGAATCTCAATCCTCAATCTCCATTAGCCTCTGATTTTTTCATTCATCCCCACATGAAGGAAATGAAGGAAAATTAGACAACTTTTGTTAAAAAAAATTTCCAAACAAATTCGAATTTTTCTGCTGAATCTCAATTCTCAATCTCCATTAGCCTCCGATTTTTTCATTCATCCCCACATGATGGAAATGAAGGAAAATTAGACAACTTTTGTTAAAATTTTTTTACAGACAAATTCGAATTTCTCTGCTGAATCTCAGTTCTCAATCTCCACTAGCCTCTGATTTTTTCATTCATCCCCACATCATGGAAATAAAAGAAAATTAGACAACTTTTAATGTCAAAATTTTTTTCCAGACAAATTCGAACTTTTCTGCTGAATCTCAATCCTCAATCTCCATTAGCCTCCGATTTTTTCATTCATCCCATCATGGAAATGAAGGAAAATTAGACAACTTATAATGTCAAATTTTTTTCCAGACAAATTCGAATTTTTCTGCTGAATCTCAGTTCTCAATCTCCATTAGCCTCTGATTTTTTCATTCACCCCCACATGAAGTAAAATTAGACAACATATAATGTCAAATTTTTTTTCCAGACAACCTGTGTTCAACCAAAGTATTCACTACAGAACTCATCGATGGGGTATCAGTTGACAAATGTGTTGACATGGAGATGGATGTCCGTGAGCACATTTGTAAATTGATAATGCAACTCTGCCTCAAAGAATTATTTGAGTTTCGATACATGCAGACGGATCCGAACTGGGCCAACTTCTTTTACAACCCAGAATCGAAACAAGTACTAATTTTTTCCAATGATCTTTCTCATTTTTTCTATTGGCAAGCATATGAGGATGCAAATGAGCTGGAAAAATTTTGTTATTCTTATTTTTCAGTTGATTCTTCTGGATTTTGGAGCCTGTAGATCATACGATAAATCGTTTTTGGATGATTACATTGAAATCATTCATGCCGCTGGTCGAGGGGACCGCGATACAGTTCTTGATTTATCGAGGAAGATGAAACTTCTGACTGGATATGAATCAAAGGTGAATATGTGCTGCCGAGCACGTCTAATTGTCGTTGGGTATAGAGGTCTGTGTTAAACAATAGGGACCTTGGATGAAGCTCAATGCTTTCGAATTTGGCACTTTTCTTCTAATTTTCATTCGTCCAATGCCATTCCATCCAATAATACTATTCGTCCAATTTTTTTCGTCCATTCTTCATTTGGTCTAATAATTTTGTAAAAACATGTAATTTGTAATTTTTTTCATAGAAAAAATCCATTCTTATAAATCCTTCTCCATTACTTACATAGTATTTATTTTTTAGGTAATGGAAAGCGCTCACGTTGACGCTGTTATGATTCTCGGAGAAGTTTTCAGCGAAAACAATGAGAAATATGATTTTGGCGGGCAAAATGTTACCAAAAGGTGAGCTTCAAAGCCACAAGTGGCTCTTCCACATTTTTCAATTGATTCCTTTTACAACTCTCGATTGCATTACAGCATGCAGAAATTGGTTCCAACGATAATAACTCATCGATTGTGCCCACCGCCAGAGGAAATTTATAGTATTCATCGTAAATTGTCAGGTGTTTTTCTGCTGTGTGCTAAATTGGATGTTAAAATTAATTGCAGAGAACTATTTCAGGAAGCTTATGAAAATTACAAGTCTGGATGAAATGTAAATAAAAATAATTGTAATCCACGTGTGCAGATATTTCACAGTAAACTTGTGATTTTTCAGCATACTTATATTTTTTATTTCTGAATCATTCCACTCCACGCTTCACAATTTCACTAAAACATCTCAAAATATCAATAAATTCGGTTGAATTAGGGGAGCATGGGGCAAAATGGAACACGGGGCAAAATGAAAGTGGGAAAATCTCGTCATCTAAAGGAGATAGGACATTTTTGAAGAGGACCTTTTTTGTAGCTTGTAAAATTCTCTACAAAAAAGGTTTCCATGAAAATCCTCCTATCTCCCTTAGATCACAAGATTTTCTTGCTGTTTCATTTTGCCCCACCGTCCCCTAATTGATTGGTAACATGATTAGTAAATTTGAAATTACAGAACTTTTATTTAACTATTAAACATTCCTTTAGATATCATACAAGGTCGGGGACTCTTCGAATAAAAAAATGTGAATTTTCACTATCTTTACAGAACATAAATCGTTACATTATCAACTAGACAGAATTGTAAATTTAGTGAACGACAATAATGGTCCATTAAGAAGTTCATAAAAGCATTGTTTCCCTGTAATTACGCTAACTTTTTAGCCAGCTCTCCGGTTTCAAGCATCTTCTTGACGTCGGTTCCACCGCCGATGAATTCGCCTTTCACGAATACCCTGGGCACACTTCTAGCGCCTGTGAGCTCTCCCAAGATATCCTGAACTTCGTCGGCATCATCCCTCTGATCCAACTCAATTACATCGTACGCTTGTTTGAGTTTCTGGAAGGCCTGAAAATCCAAAAACATCCAGCACTCGAACGTCTGCGTGATCTCATTAGCGATTTCAAAGTGTTTGAAATCCTCAATTTTTAACAATTAATTATTAATTAATGAGCAATATTTCGAACGTTAGTGAGGGAAAAATGGTCTGGCCAATTAAATTCAGTAATTAAGTTGAGTTTTTGAGGAATATTTACGAATCTACGGGAGATAGCGGAATTTTCATAATCACATGTTTGAGATTGATGCTAAAAAAATTAGGCGGGTTGGGGAAAAGTGATTTGGAAAAAGTGTGAAAATTAAGTACACGCGATTTACTAAACTTTTCAAATTCGATTATTGTCTCTACCCTGCACTTAATAATTCTCTTGATAACTCTCTTCACTTGATTATAGTCTCAAAATGATTGATAATTGACTCGAAATTAATAGATGATTGTCTCGAATAGAGACGCTACTAGGAGCGTTAACTCAGTATCTCACGGTGATGTACTCGATAGAGCGATTGCGACAATACAGAGGTACAAAGATTGAGACGATAAGATACTGAACTCGATTGGTGATTTACTTCATGATCTGACCGTGAACCTGAAGGGTCCCGAGGTCGTTCGAGAATTTTCGTCGAGCCCGGTGCCATCAGATAGGAAACTATTGCTGTGTTTTAAACACACATTTGTTGTAGCTCTCAATTGGCTCTACAAAAAAGGTTATAACAAAAATTTTGCTATCTCCCTTAGATTCCGAGATATTCATTGACAACTGGTCAATAGTCAAAATGGACTTGTACCACTTTACCACTTCGCTGCTGAATTGGGGGAGAGTAGGGTAAAAGAACACTTTAGACTTTTTTAAAATTATTCATAACCCAGAAAGAAATGTAACAATAGGGCTCAGTTCAGGCTCATCACAAAGGGAAAAAATTGTTCTTTGTATTGAAAAAAATAATTATCAATTTCCCCGAAGGAAATTAATGAGATGTAATGGACCATGAAAACATGATGTTGCTCACCTCTTTCGCCATTTTGCAGTAAGGACAGTAACTCTTGGAGAAGATAACGACAGTTTCGGAGTTGATGGTTTGAGTGACCCATTCTCTTTTAGTCTCAGACATGACTCTTCTCGTGCTGGAAACTGAACCCATGATTCTTTTGCTAGAGAGGTACTGTAATGTAGGGCAGGGTAATATAATGGGAATCCATGGGAAGACCTATTGTTTCCATTTGATGGTTAGGCCAATGGGAATTTAATGGCAAGGCAAATGACACATGACACCCAATACTGTCATTATTGTTATTAATATTGTTTAATGTACTTGACATATATAAACTTATATTTGGTGTAAATTAAAAAATTAAATTTGCGTGCATAATCAACTGATTAGGATCGTGTAGAAAACGAATTGATGAATTGAGTTTACGGAATAGGAAATTGCTATGTCCATCTTAATTCTAGAAAAATGTAAAGCCCTATACTTCAATGATTCAATACATTTTTTATAAAAGAGCCAACCTAACCTACAAATCTTTCCACAGACGACTGATGTAGGGGAGGTTGGGGTAAAACGGACACTTGACTTTTTCTAAAATGCTAATAGGGGGTTGAAATGTTGATAAAATTTAATATTTTTTTCTCAATACAAAGAACAATTCTTTCGCTTCGTGCCGAGCCTGAACTGAGCTCAATGATCAAATTGTTTCTGAGTTATGAACAATAAAAAAAAGTCTAAAGTGTCCGTTTTACTCCACCCGCTCTATTCATTCCAATTGTAAGACTCTTCAACAATTACTATTGACGATCGATTATTCAGAGAGAACTGTTCATTCGAGATTTGTCAAATAATTCTCATTATTATCGGAATCGAAGGGTTCCGGTCATGTGACAGATGCATGCTCCGATATCATCAAAATACGCGCATTTTTTGTCTACAATGTAGATTCTTATACAGCTGTTTTGAATAATTTTCTTCAATTTTAATGAAACAGGTAAAGAATTGGACGTAATGTTTGTACAGTTGTACGATGTTTTGTACAATTTATTAATTAATAGCTCACCTAGGGAGTGGATCGATTATTTTCCAATGGCTACGTCGTTATCGGTGCTGCCGTCACGACTGTCTTCGTGTCTTCAGTTCGTCCGCGCTCTCGTGCGTCGATTATTCGCTAGGATGGGCAATATTTGTCGATTAATCGAAAACATCGATGATTTTTCATGCCCCAACATCGATGTTTTTTATTCGATGTTTTCAACGGCCGATTAATCGATTTTCGATTATTTTTTCCAAACCACGATGTTTCGATGTTTCTAACCACGCTAACAAAATTTTTCATTTTTTTGTCGTAATGTTGATTGATTGAGAACAAACAAAATAATAATTTATCCGCAATCAGAAGTAGTTATTTTCTACAATATGTATGTCTATCGTTTTTTTTTTATTTCATTTTTTTTTAACAATTATCGCAGCTAGCGTCCAGCCGCGAAAAATCTTCAATATATTTTTTTCAACTAAAAATTCATTTCTCCAGTAGTACTTATCATTGAAATGTAAGTTCTTCGGGTTGAATTTTTTTAATATGGAACCCAGTTACCAAATTTTTGAACCATTCTCATTGCTTTTAAACGCTTTGCAACAGTTGATCGTTCAACATTTAATGCTGCAGCCAATTCTGATTGAGTTTGGCAAGAATTCTCTGCCAATAATGCCTCCAATTCAGCATCTTCAAATTTTTTTGGTGGTTTTCCATGTTCTCTGTCCTCAGTGCCAAAATCATTATTTTGAAATCGTCGAAACCATTCCTTGCAGGTTGTATTTGATGGAGCATGCTCACCGTAAATCTCCACAAGCAAACGATGAGTTTCCGCTACACTTTTCTTTGCAATATAATAGTGTAATAACACTTCTCGCAAATGATGTTTACTTGGAACGAAAACCGACATTTTCACGGAGGTAAAAGCACTTGTTGATTACATTTCAACCAAATGTCACGTAGTGCGTTCGACAGCTGACATAAAGTACTATCGAATACAAGTGTTGCCATTTATTTTCTTCATCTGTTCGATGTGGTTATATCCTCTCACTCTAGAAGAGTCTTGCCATTTATTGCCATTTATTAGTGCACGTAAACAATACTAAAAACGACATCTCTTGGGAAAGGGCGGAGTCATATTCACACACCTAATAATATGTTTTTCAATAAATATGGGAATAAAAAATTTATTTTTAAAAATTTGTTTTTTTGCTGTAAAATGAAAAAAACATCGATTTTTTAAATAATCGTTGCTTTTCCCGGAAAAATCGATTCACAATATCGCTCGTTTTGAAAAACCTCGATTCTTCGGTTCGCATGGCGGCCTCGGATCTCCTCCGCGATGGGCGATGTTTTTGAAAACATCGATGTTGTGAATCGATTTATCTCGAAAAAAACATCGACTATTTAAACCATGTGTTTTTTCTTATTACACAGGAAAAAAAAATTTTTTTTAAATAATATTTTATCTTCTCGTTTTCATTGGGAAATATATATTTAAAAAATACAACTGAGGAACTTACGTTTCAATGATAAGTTGTTCTAGAGAGTTAAATTTGGAATCTTGAAAAAGGGTTGTTGATTAATGGAAATAGTATATTTCGTAACGAGTGCAAAAAACATTTTTTCACGAGTTACGAACAATATTTTTCATCACAATGTGGCGGAAATTGGACTTTTAGGCACGCGGAGCGTGCCGAAAAGTTTACTTTTCGTCACAGCGTGATGAAAAAAAATATATTTGATATTTTCCGTGGCTGGACGTTAGCTGCAATAATTCTTAAAAATTCAAATTAAAAAAAAAAAATAGACGATTGGACTTGTCCACTTACTATTTATAACGTACATATTGTAGAAAATAATCACTTCTGATTGCAGCTAAATTATTTTTTTTATTCTCAATCAATCAACATTATTGTTCCATAATATGTATATAATGAAAGAAATGGAAGACACTTGTCAGGCTTGTGAAAGCAAGTTTATACACCGTTCGTTGGTAAAACAAATATTTCGTTTCTTACCTGACGATTACATCGCCTTCTAGCCCTTCTAGCTGACCGATATCCTTTACTATAGAATTATGAATAAATATTTTCAATAAAATGATGCTCTTGCGGATTATAACATCACGTATCCTCGATATCAGCAGTAAACTGTAAAAAATCATAACAAAACGATTTTTTTAATGCAAAATAAATAATCATTCTCTCAAAAACTGAAAAAAAAAAAAATAACAGCACAATATGTCATGAGACATTTGAAATTAAAAATAATTCTAATTCTCTTATTTTCATTTCATCTCATATATGAGCTATAAACAATTGATAAAAAAAAAATATTTAGAAAGCAATAAAAATTCTATTGTTTCTCTCAAAAAATACGTAAAACGAAAAATATTGTTTTCTATGGGATTTGTCAAATAAAAAAATTATTCACGGAATATAACAATAGAATTATGAATAAATATTTTCAATAAAATGATGCTCTTGCGGATTATAACATCACGTATCCTCGATATCAGCAGTAAACTGTAAAAAATCATAACAAAACGATTTTTTTAATGCAAAATAAATAATCATTCTCTCAAAAACTGAAAAAAAAAAAAAAAAACAGCACAATATGTCATGAGACATTTGAAATTAAAAATAATTCTAATTCTCTTATTTTCATTTCATCTCATATATGAGCTATAAACAATTGATAAAAAAAAATATTTAGAAAGCAATAAAAATTCTATTGTTTCTCTCAAAAAATACGTAAAACGAAAAATATTGTTTTCTATGGGATTTTTCAAATAAAAAAATTATTCACGGAATATGACAAAAAATGCAGTTATTCTCTCAACAAATGAACAAAATGTCATTTTTAATGGGATTTTTTCAATTAAAAATAAATCAAATTCTCTCAAGCCCTTCTTTATTTCCATTTCGCCTCATACACGATTGAAATTCATTACGTAATACTGTATTTATATAATTTATGACGAATAGGATAGTGTACAGGAGGAATACCTAACATTATTCACGTATTTTAATTATTTATATTCAGATTTTCCATTGAGAAGAGTCTTGAAAGGCATTTTATCATTTTAAATATTCATTAATTAAGTACAAAGGTAGATCATTACGTTAATAATTTCTCCACTGACTCATGCTATTGCATCATTTAATTATTCGAAAATTAAATGCCTCTTTCACTCGATATTGGAGCGATCTACTATTATATATTATTGTTTTAGCGTAAGAGAGAAGGAGCTAGGCTTTTATTTACTCACGTATTTACCCATAATTGATTGACATTTGATCACAGACACAATCGCTCATTCATCCCCAAAAAAAACTAATAACTATTATTGCAATTATGAGATTACCGCTTGATATTTCGCTAATAGTCTAGAAAAAATTGCTTTCTGTGCGATTCACGTATAATTGATTCAAAAAATATTCACTCATTCAATCGAAATTCACAATTTTTGAATTGACCAAGTTGATTTTTTTGAAATATCTTCAGTCATTCGGTTGTTCAATGCCTCCACAAGCGTTCGCAAAGAGAAATATTTTCGTTATTTGGTCTCGAATCGAACAACAATATTTTAATCGTTTAAATTCAGCGATTAGTTTTGACTTGAGAATGTGACAATTTTTGGAGAAAAAAAAATCAATTGTAAAATGAAATTTCCTCGTTTGAATTGATCAATTCATTAGCAATTTTATTCATTAATTGACGAATGGAATATGCGATTAATTTCCTCCTGGTGACCATCAGGTGTGAGATCGATTTAATTTTCATTTAGACTATAGCTATTCTTATGAGAGGATGCAGGAATTTCTTTTGCCACCAGAACGCTCGCGAATCTGGTGAAGATGCTGGAGTTGCGCTGGCGATGGTACGGGTGCACTACTTGTACGTGAATTGTGATGATGTGGTGGTGGTAGTGATTGACGTCGCCTGCGCCTCAATGCTGGACTCAAATTGTATTTGACTTTGGCTTGTACCAAGAGCTCTTTGAATACTTGAGTGATGTTCAAATTGTCCTTAGCTGATACTTCCACAAAGCCATTCTCCCATTCTGTTACAACTAGTTCACGTATGCGGTCTGTATCCACCTGGAAGTGGAATCGATTTTTTTACTCGGAAATGGCGTTTTGATCAGCCGCATCGTTGAATTTTCGGAAATTCGGGAAACAATCGTGGAAGGGTCACGGGAGGGAAGGGAAGTACGGGAATGGCAGGCGAGGATTTACGAGAGTAAAACGGAGAGCACGAGGCTGTACTGATATTTTGGAGAATCCTGGAATCCTGAAATTTTCTCAAATCTTGACGGAATTCCTAAACTTCTCCCTTTAATCCTTTAGCCACCAAATTAAAAAAAAATCTTTTTTTTAGTGCAACAAGCACGAAATTTATAAATATGTTCAAATCCTGGAATTTTCTTAAAATTTGGAAAAATTTGTAGATTTTTCACAAGTTCACAGAAAATTTCGGAATTCTATATAATTTCTGGAAATTTTGTAAAGACTCCTAGATTTCTGGAAAACGTTAAAAAAATCCTAGAATCCTAGGATTTTCTCATAAATCCCTAGACTTAAAAAACCTAGAATTCTGAAAAACGTCCAAAAAATTCAAAAATCCTACAATTTTCGCAAATTTTTCAAAAATTTTAGACTTTGGGAAAACGTTAAAAAATCGTAGAAGCATAGATTTTGAAGAAAATTCAAGCATTATAAAGATTTTTCTAAAATGACAAGAAATCCTAAGATCCTAGCATTTTTTGAATTTTCTAAAAATTCCTAGATCTTTGGCAAATTTCAAAAAAATTCTAGAATCATAAAGATTTCTCTAAAATGAAAAAAAATCCTAGAATCCTACAATTCGGAAGAATCCTAGAATCCTAAAATTTTCTCAAATTTTGTAAAAATTCCAAAACTGGCGAATTGCCAAAAAATCCTAGTCTTAGAATTTTCTCAAACTAAAAAAAATAGAAAATCAGCAAAAAACAACGAAACAAAGATAATTTCCATTAATATTAATTATTTTCACAATACCTGAGCTTCCCCCTCGCAGTCCTCGCTCTCCATGACGAGATCGATCTTATTACCAACGACAACAATTGGCACAGCTCCTTTGGACGCCAAAATCGTTGATCTGAGTCCCTCAACTTCGGCAAACGTGCTGGCATCATTGACATCATAAACAAGAATAAATGCGTCCGCCGATTTTATCGACAATTCCCGCATGGCGGGAAAGTCATTAGTGCCTGATGTATCTAATATGTCTAGGGTCAACTGCACTCCGGAAACATTGAAGTCTCCGCAGTGCATCTCCTCAACAGTTCTCTTGTACTTTGGCGAGAATGTGTTGTAGAGAAATTGATTTATTATTGATGATTTGCCAACTTTGGCTGCACCAAGTACCACTATTTTGTGCTTCGCCGGCGAGTCGTTGGACTTTTCTCCATTGTCCGACTCTGAGAGACGCTCTTCTCTGAGAAATATACAACAATATACAGTACTTCATTAGCAATTAATTGAGTGCCATCAATTGTGCGAAATTGACCAGTTAAAAATAATAAAACGAGAAATTTCCAATTTCAATGGTAATGAAAGGGGTGGAAGACCGGTGGAACTTGAATAGACACTTCTCTCCAAGGTTTCCATCGACCTCGCTCAATCTGCTTTAATTAATTAGTGGAACTGTACGCGAGTGCCAGAGGCCTCAGAACCCTTTTGCCTCGAATTAACGCACACCGGGTGCTTGTAATTAAAACTCTGCTTGCCCTTTTTCCACTATTACTCTTATTCGATTCCGGGTGCATCGTGTTTTTCATTGATCTTGCGAATTCCATTTTCTCGAGGACTAATGAACCTTTTTTAATTGACTCTTGTTGCCATTCATTGAGGCTTTTTCAGGAATTGATGATGAATTTTTTCTCGGTTCGGGCCGATGTTTTTCTTTTAATTGAGGGATAATTGGATTTGATGAGAAAACTGGGGATTTGAGAGTGGGCGCCCGCGAGTGTCAGTCGAAGATTCACGAAAGTTCACGAGGGGAGCCGAACGTTTACGAGAGTGAATCGGCGCGCACGGGTGTTACTAACTTTTTTAAAGAATCCTGGAATCCTATAATTTTCTTCACTTAAATACGAAATTATAGAATCTCCGCGTTTTTTCGAGCTCGTCAAAATTTTTGGAACAAATTCCAGATTTTTATAAATTTTTTTTTAAAACCTAGAGTCATAAGTTTTCGATAATTCTGGATCCTTGAGATTTCAAATGTTGAATCCTATAATTTTTTCATTTTTTTTTACAATCGTGAGCTCCTACCGTATGTTCAAAAAAATTCTAGAATCCTAGAATTTCCCAACGTTTTTAGAAAATCCAAGATTCCTACCAGATTTGGAGAGAATTGAATCCTAGGATTTTCAGAAAATCCTAGACTCCTAGAATTTTTCAAAAAAATCAGAAAATCCTAAAATTGGAAAAAAAAATTAATCCTAGAATTGTCTCCATTTTTTAAAGAAAATCGTAGGCTTTTACCGGATTACCAAAAACACCTAGAATCCTGGGAATAGAGCAATTATCATTTACTGACGATCCACTTGGATGTTCATGTGGATTATTCTGACGATGTGCGTCGTTACTCGGCTTCTTCTTCCACCCGAAGCCACTCCAGTCTATATCCGCCTCCATATTTTCACCAAAAGGGATATGACGTGCAGATAATGCCAGTAATACGATTTCATTTTCGATAGGCTCTTCATGGAGGATTACTGAACACTTGACTCAAGAAGGATTCAGGGATACTTTATTAGTACTTCAATCTTTGGCCTTTGCGTCTGGCGGGTAGTGGGTTCTTTCATCAATATTTCTATCGAAGGGTCCACCGTATCAATGTCCATTGATAATCATGGGAAATTTTGAGATGAGAAACATGGAAAATAGCTTTGGAATACTCGGGGATCATTCAGCGGTGAGAAATGTCAGACATCTTGATGAATGTGGGATTATCGCGCCTCATGCATCTACGACAAAATGTCGGACAATATTGTCCGCGGGAAATTCAAATATTTATTCGAGCACAAGGTGAGAACCATAGAAAACATCTCCGATTTCCTGATTTGCCGAGATGAAAAGTAAAATTGCTCTATCTGATGCATAGATAAAAATCTAGATTTTTTTTGAACATTCAGACTTCTACCACATTTCAAAAAAATTCTAGAATCATAAGATAAAAAAATTTAATCCCAGCAATTCTCCGAATTCGGAAGTAAGTTCTAGATTCCGAACATTTCCACAGAAATCCTAGGATTCTAGAATTTTTCCAAGTTTTCTCAAAATTCCTAGACTTTCACCAAATTGTCAGAAAATCCTAAACTCCTAAAAATTCTACAAAATCCTAGAATCCTAAAATTTTCATAAAAATCCTAAAATTCTGGAATATGAGATCATCTCACATCCCATGCCTCCGCTACGACAAAATGGCGGAAAATATTACCCGCGGGAAATTCAAATGCTGAATAAAGCACAAAGTGCCAAGAATAATGGCCAAAAATCCTGGACTCCCACCATATCCAAAAAAAAATCATCAATTCTATAAAATAAAAATTCCTACACTTTTACCAAATTATCAGAAAATCCTAGACTCCTAAAATTTTCAAAGAAATCCTAAAATCTTATAACTCAAAATCATCTCACACCTCATGACTCTCCTACAACAAAATGGCGGAAAGAATAACCCGCGGGAAATTCAAATGCTGACTAGATCCCAAGTTCCAGAGATAAAAGCCATCTGCTGTTTGTTTATTACCCGTTATCCGTGAGCAATTAAAATGAGAAATAAAGTTGCTCTACCTGATAGATGTCTTTGGTGGTGCCTCCTGCTCTTCCTTGAGAGACGAGGAAGGCTGCAGACTAAAGCGTCTGCGAAATTGATGTCGGCTCTTCATCATCCGCAATTGTGGCCTGGAAAAAATGGAGATGGAAGTGATTAAAAACATGTCCAGGTGTGGAGTTTACGAGGGCATCTTTCACAAGATGAGAATTCTGTCCGGATAACAACCTGAATTGAGAGTTTCACACCTATGATTTAATACACTTACAGAATATTTTTTAGTTCGATTTCTTTTTCAAACGAGGACAAATTGCTAGAACCAATGCGAGATTTTTCAATAAAAAAATCAATAGATTCCAAGAAATTGAGGAATTTGTGAGAGCAAATTCCCATTCGTCTCGCTTACACGAACCAATAGAATGTTGGTAATAGCAGCATTGTAAAAAAAGCGCATGAAAAACGCATTGGCACGGTGAAAGAAATATGAGGCGGAAAAAAATGTTAACGTGCAGCGTTGGCCGGGTCAAAAGGTTGCATTGGAAATAAAAAAAAAATGATGAAGAATGTGCCGTTTATTCAGGTGCTTCAGATGCGTTCGCATGCGTGGTCACGCAGATGTTAAACGAGTCATTTCTCGCTTCAGTATCGGTTCAATATACACCGCAGTGTTGAATTCACGGTGTTGAGGAACAGGAGAACAGGGGGTGCGGGAGAGAGGGAGTTTGATAGAATTGGATGAGGACCGTGACTGGCTCCGGTGCTCAGGGGATTTACACGGATTTTCCTGAGCGTGCTGCGGGGATACCTCACACCAACGTTTCTCCGCGAAATTGGAATCGCTGAAGGATACGAGGGAGCGTGACTGGATGTAGCGGGGATATAAAAAATGAGGGGACTGTGCCCTTTTTTACGGAATTTCGAGGCTTCGTACGGGCGACTCTCACTTACGCCCTTTTCCGGTCGAATCATTGATGACAATTATTCGTAAATAATTGTCATAAAGTTTTTTTCATAAAGTTGATTGACAATGAATGATTGTTTTGATTGTTAACTTTTTATTCGCCTTGCGATTGGTTGATGGATCAATCAATGATTTCCGTGACTACGAGGATGGTATTGTGCGCTACAGCGCGCATGATTGCCTAGTCCTATTTACTAAAGATGAACGAAACGTGAAGTTGTTTTATATCGAAATATCTCGAAACTGCCTGACCGCTAATCCTTAATTCTGATTGGTCAATATGTGACACGAAGTTATTCACAAAAAAAAAAACACGCGGCATTTTCAGATTCTTCAGTGATATAATTTCAAATTCTTTAGAGGTAAATTTTTTTTCCACGTCATATATATATATATATAGATGATATATATAACATGTATATATATCATCGATGAAATTAATAAATCCTGTCCTTTTATGGAGACCGATTAGTTAAAAAAATTGAAGATAATTAATTGAAAATGAAAAATTCTTTATAGATTCTTTTACTCTACTTCGCTATTCACTTCAATCATTAGTCGAATTCTCTTTGATTCATTATCAATATTTATAAGGTATTCATGAGAAAATGAAATTCAATGAATTCCATTTCTTCATTTCAACAAATGAATAGATCAGTGCGCGCATAGAACTTGTCAATATAATAATTACCGATGCCGGTGGCCGAGTGGGCTAGACGCAAGTCTATTGTGCAAAAGGTTGTGAGTTCGATTCCCCGTGGAACCGAATTTTTCAACGGAAGGCTGCGGCCCGCGGGAGGTTGCTAATAGAGTAACCGTCTGTACCGGCATGAGTTTCCTGTGGTTTCCCATGCTACTCCTATGTTCTATTGGAGTGCGAATGCGGTACAGTGTTGAAGCCACAGCCGCATGCGTAGAGTTGGATATTGGATAGAGTGCCGAAATGAGAGTCGAAAAAGAGGACTCAAAAAAAATATATGTGTGTATACATAATAATAATTGGTGATTTAATTTTTCAATTATTGGGTGATAAAAAACCCAGAAATTTCTGTTTTTTTCAGAAGATCCTAAAACCCGAAAAATTCCTAAAAATTCTTAAAACCCTGGAACACTAAATTCCCAATTTGTTAATTATTCATAAGATGCCCACATAGTTGTTAAAAATCCCCCCCCCCCCCCCCCC